TACTGCACAGCCAGGTATTGTATCGGGGCAAAAAAAAAAGGCATCGGTGCAACACTAGTATTTACCATCTGCAGGTATTTAGTGTACTATTTTAAGTTTAATATGATCGAACAGTCGTTAACACCAATGTAGTGGTTAAAGAGGGGGGTGATTTTTTTCTATAACAGAGAGGAGAGCAGAATCTGAGAATTATAAAGCCCCATCAAAAAAATCAATGTGAGGAAACTCATGACTACATCAGCACTTAGACTCCGCATTCGGAAGCAGCAAAGCCCATGCGTTTGCATTCTCTACAAAGGAAGGATATATTTAAGAGGCATATTTGGCCTTTTGTTTGCTGTTTGTGGTGCCACTGTATATGCTTGGAGCTGCTTTAATGGGGGGGATGGCCTTCACTTAAATAACCAACACAGCAGAAATTTTCGCAGACAAGGGTAAAATCAGAGACATCTACATTCAGCTGCAAAAACCCTTCAGACTGCTGTGTTTTATGCATAGTGTCAGTTTGCAAAACAAGCCTCAAATCTCATTTGGAGCAGACACCTTTTTAAACTCTGAGATGTTTAATTATTAAAAAAATAAAAGAGAGAGGAATAAAGAGCTTTATGCGTTACTCTTGGATAAGTGCTGTCTGAGATCAAAGCCCTGCCATTTGATCCTGCTTTCATTTAGATCCCAATCTGTTCGTCACAAACAGATTTCACTGCTTTCTCAACTCTGCAGGAAACAAGTGACACAAACTGATCAGGTCTTTGACCGCAGTGATGTGACGTTTACTCATCGGCTTTTGGCTCTCAAACTTTCCCACACTGACTGTATGTTCAAAGGTGACTCAGGGGAAATTGCGTGATGAAGGTTACAATCAATATTTGGCTCTTGATCTTGGTTTGGGGCTATTTCTTGTTATCGTAGTGCTGTTGTCATCGAACTGTTTATTTAGGAATTTAAAAATCTCTGGGGTGAAAAAAATTGCTCAACAGATGGTGAGATTGCGCAATTTGGACTCGGTGCTTGCTCACAGATGCACTTGCAGTTTGGACAAAGGGGGAGAAGAATGCCACGCATGAATGGGTGTCTTTACCCTCCTATCATTTCCACTGGAAGTAGAAAGCAAAGAGATCTACATGGTTTAAGCAAATGCACTGTTTTTTAATCAGATCAGCTTATTTATGAATCACCAATTGTCTCCTTTTTAACAATATCACAATAAAACTGCAAGAGGAGACAGAAACATTATGTTGAGTTTAAAAGAGGAAAGAACTACATAGTATTATTATCCATACACATATTTTCTTTCATTTCTTCAAATCTCTCCATACTGGCCACGCCCTGAAGTGATACCGGGATCCAGGGGCGCAACTGTATGCAGTCATATTACAGGCACCTCCATGCCCCCAACAGATTTTCCTTGTGTATATGTGTCTTTACATCTGTCAATCTTGATAATTCATTTACTAATATAACACACACTCTGCATTCCTTTGTCTCATCTGCACCTCTGTTCCACATTATACCCTGACGTAATTTTTTTTTATGTCTGCCTGCAATCATTTTTCCAAAGAGACACAGAGATCAGCAGTAACTAAAACCATTCTGATTNATTTTTTTTTATGTCTGCCTGCAATCATTTTTCCAAAGAGACACAGAGATCAGCAGTAACTAAAACCATTCTGATTATCTTGATTTTGTGTGCTCTATAGCTGATGCCATCAACAACAAGCAATATTTGTTAGTAATAAATAGATTGCATATCTTGCTAAGGCACTTTTTTCTCTGTAAAAAGCATTTTAAAAGTGAATCAATTGTTATTAAGTAGCTAGTCCTACATTTCCACTCAATATTAAACCATCCTATTGCAGTTCTCTGTCCACCTTGATGCTTTCTACTCATTTTCTATTGCTCTCCATCCTTACAGCTGAATTATATTCATCTTCTGTAAAGGACTTTTTTGAAAAAAACAGCAGTCAAACCACAAAAAATATATATAATTTAAAATGTTATCCTTAATGGATATCTGATTTGATACTACATCTGATCAGAGATGCATCATGACTAACACGTAGTGTTATATTTGAGTAAAGACATTTAAACCCTGCTTTACTCCCATATTCACACGTCTCATTTTTTATTTTTATGAAGCACCACTATTCTTAAATCATTTATTGCTGTCTAAATATGAAGATAACCAGAAAAAAGTCCCCTTGTTTTACATGACATGATCTGTTGTAAATACTGAGCTGGGACGATGCAACAATGTGTGCATTTGACTCAGTGATAGTTTTATATAAAAACTGACATCTGTGTGTCAGGAGAAAAAAAAAATCTAAGCTGATTACACTGAGAACTTGATTAAAGTAAGATGTTACAACTCACCCTGGACCTTTCATCCATGTAGGTTTGAGCTTAATCACAAAAACATAAAACAGAGCTTAAGAAAAGAATGCTTTCATGCCCAAATGATAGTATGTTTCCAATAAATCCAGGAGCAACTCGGCAGCTTATTCTCTGAAAAAGGAGGCCCCTGGTCTCCCCAAGATAACAGTACCTATCATTTTAACACCCTAATG